AAAGTATTTCGAGATGAAAATTACTTTAATGATGACATTACAAACAAAGACGTGGTAAGTTTTTGGCTTAAAGATTTTATTATATTTTTTTTTCTAATAAGTTGTTATTTTTATGACTTAAGTTGAAAAATTTTTTTTTCTCAATTAATTAACTAATTGTTTCAAAAGATCAGTAAAATTGTAATCTTTGTTTATTTTTAAGGTGTATAATTATTTATTTTCAATAATATTTACATAAAAACTTTAAACCATCTGTATATGATTATACACACACACGATTTGAATGTATATGAGTATAAATATTAAAAACATTGATTCATGCAAGTGCTCTCAATACTATTGTTATTTATTTTTGAAAATTTTTCTTGTTTAATCACCTTCATCATTAGTTATAATATCATAATTAAAAATAAAAAATTATATTAAAAATAAAAATTAAATTACAAAATTCTTATACATTAGAATACAATAAATGAAGTCCAAATTTTATTTCTAATTTATTTCCACCATATATTGGAGAGTACTAATATTTTTGAATCTTTAAGGCTGGCCAAACTTTCCTAACAAATTTATTATATTCTTTTTTTTTTGTGTTTTTATGATTATTAGGCATTTTTGGTGTTGCTGAGTTCTAGTTCTGGCTTGTATTTTTGTATATTTTTGTATTTATTGATGTTTGTATAATTTTCATATATATTTATATATAATTGTATATATATATAATTATAAATATATATATATATATATATTTATATATATATATACATATATATATATATATATATATATATATATATATATATATATATATATATATATACACACACACACACACGCGCATACAGCCCTCAGAATTAGGGTCGGCATTTGGCAATGCCAATTTAACTGCCGAACTGAAAGTATTAACGTTGAAAATAAAATGCCAAACTCATTTCCTAATTCCTAATTCCAAGGGCTATATATCTGTATATATATATATATATATATATATATATATATATATATATATATATATATATATATATATATATATATATATATATATATATATATATATATATATATATTTATATATATATATATATATATATATATATATATATATATATATATATATATATATATTTATATATATGTATATATATATATATATAAATTATTTTTAGAATTGGCCAAAACTTATAAAATCTATGCTGGCAGATGGTAATTTATTTTACACCTAATAAGTTATTAAGCTAAACAGCACATTTTTTATTATTTAAATATTTTATGTTCAATTATTTGATTATGTTCAAAATTTTGATATATAAGAGTCATAAAATATCACCAGCCTTTGTACATACAGTGATGAATACAGAGTTTTTTTGTGGGATACCATTTTTTTTATTGACAATGAGAGGGGAGAGATATTCTTGTGCTAACAACCTCCTCTTCCCCTCTTTCAGTTAAAACCGGTGCCGCAACTATAGTTTTTTTAAAAATCACTTTCTTTCTGTTTATCTTCTTTATTTGTGTTTATCTTCTTTATTTTTTAATTATCCAATTTTTTTATTATTGTATTCACTTTTATTTTTTTTATTATCTGAAGATAAGTAGATGATATAAAATAGTATCTCGTTGTAAAAAGTATTTCTTTGAAAACTTTTTTTTTTTGTTGACATTTTGTTACGCTTTATTTTATTGTGGACATTTTGTTTATCTTAATAAACTTTTAAGTTGCAAATATTTTTAAATATTTATTGAAAATTGTTTAAAGTATTTTAAACATTAACTTTATTTTAGTAATTTTAAATTTAGTAGTTATTAATGTTTAAAATACTTTAAACAATTTTCAATTTATAATTACAAAAAGCTCTGGGTTCGTCACTGCTTATTAAACTTTTATGTCTTGTTTTTTTATTATTCGTATTATAGTCAAGTATTTATTTTCTATATATAATATAGTATATTATATATACTATTTATAATATAGTATATAGTCAATAACTATTTGTATTCAAATCATAAGTGTTTAATAAACATATTAACTATTATTTTAATTTTAATTTTTATTTAAGTATTAGCAGTTCTGTTCATTTAACTTTTAGTTAAGGTAAATAAGAGATAATGACTGTAAACTTTATGATTAAAAAAGTATATTTTTGGGTGCCCAAAAAAAAGCGCTGTGGGTCCATACAGCTCCAGCAGTAATAAAATAGGTCTAAGTTAGGTTTGTTCATGGTAAATGGCTCAAACAAATGTGCTCCAAATACAAATTAACTTTGTTTATCTAAAATTATTATTATTTAATAAATTCACATGAAGGAAACAAATATGATGAAATATTGCTACTTTCTTGCTTAATGCTTATAGATTTAAAGTATTTCAGATCGAAGATACACATACAAGGAAGTGTTATTTTGCAATTATATATTCTAATACAAGTAATTTTAAAGTGATGTTAATGTTAATTAGACAAGTTAGACAATAAAACATGGTGACATCTAATAATTTTCACATGGGTGCTTGATATTTGTGCCTTTTTTTCATCAAATGTGATCATGCTGAATAATGGGAAATGGGAAAAAAGATTAGATAAACAATATTGGTTAAATTATTTATGGGATTTGTAATTTCTTTGAACATGTCATTTGACTAACTTAAATTCTTTTGAGTTATCTGATGCTCTACCATCAATATCAATATCATCAATATTTTTGTTACTATTTTAACTATTTTATTTGTATTATATGTTATATATAAATATATATATGTATATATATATATATATATATATATATATATATATATATATATATATATATATATATATATATGTATATATATATATATATATATATATGTATATATATATATATATATGTATATATATATATATATATATATATATATATATATATATATATATATATATATATATATATATATTTGCCTAATAGTTTAATTTTTTTTTTTTAAAGGTGATATAATTGGAACAGAAGTTTCTAAAAAGTATCAACTGGCTATAAGTGCTTTGGGAGGTTGCACCTGGTTTGTTTGTTTTTTTTTTAATTTTTCCTGTTGCTAGTAAATTGATAAATAACACAAAATAGGTTCATGATAAAGAACACAAAATTGAGTAGCATTTAGTACAAACACTTTCAGAAAATTTTTCTAAAATGCCCAAAAGAAAGCTATAACAAAAATTTTCCATTTACATATATCCTTTCAAATAAAATAAGTTTTTTTATTTTTTTGTCATCTTATATTCAATAGATTTTATGAAATAAACCATAATGCAATTTACATTCTCTTTATATTAATTTTAAAAAATTTCTCTATATATACTGTGCCCCTGCTATATTTCTATTTTTTTCTAAGGTTATAGCTTGTATTCTTGTTGATCTTATATCATTAATCAACTGTAAATTTATTATTTTTTAAATTTTAGGTATTTTTTTATTTATTTTAATTTTAGGTATTTGAAAAAATGCTGCATTGATCATGAGTTACTTTCAATGCATCAATTTCAGGTGAGGATTTTATACATCAAAATTATTATTTTTTGAGTTTATTGGTTTCAAAGATAAAAGAAGTTTGTTTTTTTATCAAAACCTCTCTTAATAGAATTTTGAAGTTATTAGGCAAGTTTTTAATTTCCATGGTTTCAGACATTTCTATAATAAGATATACAAGTTTTGTTTACTTATTTTTATAAAAAGTTTATATTAAAATTCCATGATTTATATTATTTCTATAATAAAGTATACAAGTTGTGTTAACTTATTTTTATAAATAGTTTTTATTAAAATACCATGATTTCTGTTATTTCTATAATATAATACAAGTTTTGTTTACTTATTTTTATAAAAAGTTTAAATTAAATTTTTATTATGTCTTTATTTACTTAATTATTACTACTTTTTTAAACATTTAAAAAAAAAATAATGATATTGCTTAAAGACATCCCTAAAAAGTTTAAAAATTTACCTCACACTTGCATGACTATTTTAGTGTAGGATAATAAAGCCATACTTTAGCAAATAATCCATACTTTAGCATAATGCACAATAATATAGCCGTATAGTCTCTTTAGCATAATATGCTAAAATTTTTCAGATAACTAATGTAAATTAAAATGGTCATGCTTCTTTAGCATAATTAAAAAATTATTCATTTACACAATTATTTTTTAGATAATGTTAATATCTTACCTCTTTAGCATAATGCACAACAATTGTTTATATATTTTGTTTTTGTTACAATAAATATTTTATTATTATATTAGTTAGTTGTACATTTAGTTGAATTTGCAGAAATATAAATAAAAGGAATTTTTGTTAAGTATAATTTAAGTAAATATAGATTATAATTAAAAACATGCTTTTAATTGATGATCTTTAAGTTTCATTTCATAGTTTATCTAATTGTTTAGGAGTATGTCCCAATGGATCAAAATGTAACAACAACAAAAGACAGTTTACCCCAATATATGGTAAAAAAAAAAATTATCATTTTTTATATCTTAGCATTTTATCTCTTTTTATATCTTTCTTTTCATTTCTATTAATGTTTATAGAAATTAAAAGAATTTTCATAGAAGTTAGGAAAATATTTACAGAAATAGATAGAATTTTTATTGAATTTATTATTAATAATTACTATATTACATTCAGTTATATTATTTTCTTTAAAGGTTCTTGATGGCATTACATTGACAAACCTTGAAATTACAGTTAACTCTGATGGCAACACTAATGGAACCTTGTTGCAGTTGTTAGACCAATGTGTAACTATGTTTGGTATGACTTAAATTTAATCAAGAGTTAAATATATTTAGTATAAAATAATTGTAAACAGTTAAATTTTAAGTATTTTTATTTTTTTCAATATATATATATATATATATATATATATATATATATATATATATATATATATATTGGATAATTATTTTTTATTTTTTAAACAGGAAAGCGTACTTTTATGCAATGGATTTGTTCACCTTTGTGTGGAAAAGCAGCAATAGATAACCGGTAATTTTATGTATAAATAATATATATAATAATATATGTATAATATATGTATTTTATATATGTATATATATATATATATATATATATATATATATATATATATATATATATATATATATTTATTTATAAAATTAGACTAGATGCTGTTGAAGATCTCATGAGTATTCCCTCACTAATAAGTGAAGCACGAACAGTTATGAAATCAATTCCTGATCTTGAAAGAATACTAAGAAGGTATTTAATGTTTATCACTCTTATAAAATCATTTTTTTAAATAAATAAATAAAAACTTCTACAATGGATGTTACTCTTTATTTTTAATTTAATTTTTAGAATATTGACAAAGGTAAATTCCAAGTGTCTTTTAATATCTTTAATTTATATCCTTTAGTCCCAGTAAAGGAAGCAATAAATTTCCTTATTGAGAGATTTAAAAATGATCCTAGTTTTACATCAAAATTTACTTTTGATGAAATAAAAGCACTTTTAGATTTATTTTTTATATGAACACAACATTTATGAACTAGAAGATTCTGGACCTTTTGGTTTAGGACTTGAGCAGAGTGTTTTCTACAGTTTCACAAAAGTAATGCTATTGCATAAGCGGTTTCCAATAATGTTTATGTAAAGTTATTTAAAACATATTTCGATGACTCCCATCTTTACCGTGGATTCCAGGAATTAGCTTAAGGTTAAGAAAAGTTTTCAAAAAGGTAATTTACACACCAGTCTTTAAATCACCAAAAAATTTACAACATGTACTTACCACAAAAACTAAACCTCTTCCTATAAAATCTTACCCAGGTGAGCACAAACTTGAATGCTCCTGTAAAAAATATTATATCAGTGAAACAAATTTAAAATCTTATCTGGCATTTGCCAACATCAGAAAAATACATGCTAAGGAAAATGGAATTATTCAGCAATAGCGGAACATTCAAAAAATTACCATGGTAATTTTGCATGGAATAATTAAAAACTTTAAAAGAAGAGGTATAGAATAGGTAGAGAATAATTTTAAAAGGAATTTTAACAGAAATTGAGGGAGACTTAAAATATAACGCCATGAAAGTTTCAGATGATTGATATTTTAGTGCACCTTCAGATGGCGTTCTTAATTAGGATTATGGATGTTATGTAACGACTTCCTTTGGAAACCTATGTTTTGATATTTGAATCAATAGAAACTATTGCATTGATTTGTTTTTTATTTTTGTTTGTTTTTAAGGATTTTTTATATTTGTATTATACTTGATAACAAAGTAATCAATACTTTCTTGAAATGTTGTAATAAAAATTAATTTTGAAATAAAGAATTACATCTATAGTAGAAGTTTTTAATTATATATATTAAAATCTTTAAAGATATCTTTTCAAATTCATTTTTTAAAATCTTTTTTTTTTCTTTTTTTTTTTTTTTTTTTCTCTGTTCATGTTCTGGTTAACATTTTATGTCTTAAATTTTATTAAATTTTATGTTTAGAAACTTATTTATTTTTAGAGTACATTCTCTAGGATCCTTAAGGCGAAGTAAGGAACATCCAGACAGCAGAGCTATTTTTTACAATGATGAGATTTACAGGTTATTAGTGCAAATATGATTTTAAATGTTGGATGTTTTATAAGACTTTATTGATATAAGATAAGTGAACAGAATTTTAAACCAACAAAAGTCTAATATGGTTAAGTAAACATATAGATTGGTATATTTATTTATGTTGAGCTAAACAGATTCAACCAGTTGTTTAAAAATTGTCAAAGACCTATTTTATGTTTTTGGTTTTCTTCTATGGTCTACAAGAAAAGGCGCCGTAACCACGTAGGTAGGCTTGTGTATGTAATTTAGTGGTAGAGCGCTTGCTTCATAAGCGAAAAGTTCAATACCACGAGATCCCTTTTAGTACTGTGCTCAACTTGTTTCTTCATGCAGTGGCCTTGTTTTTCCTTGTTTTCCGAGAGTTTTTGCTAGACAAAATATAAAAAAATTAACATTGTTTTTGTAAGTAAATCTTGCTTTTTTTTTATTTTTTTTATTTTTTTATTTTGTTGATATTATAATGTTATTTACCTCCCCAAGGCCAAATGATCTTTTACAATCGAGAAGGCTACTATTGGTTTTTACAACAATTTCTCAACTCTTTAACTCCAAAATATAAACCTTGACAAACAATGCCAGTACGTAAAGAAACAAGTTAAATCAATAGTACTAGGGTAGGGGACTAAACTCAGAACTTCCCACTTGTGAAGTGTGTGCTCTACCACTACCAGGGCCAGACTCACATTTAGGACTCTAAACTTAATCAAAATTATTTTTGATGAAAAATCAATATGTAGTATATATATAGTATTAAAAGGTTTGTTGCTTGCTTTTGTATCTTTAATTCTTTAGTTTAGCGTTACAGCTTTTATATATATATATATATATATATATATATATATATATATATATATATATATATATATATATATATATATATATATATATATATATATATATATATATATATGTTATTTCACCTCATCAAGGCCATGAAGGCCACTACAGTCGAGGAAGCTGCTTTAATTATGGTTACAACCTATTCTCAACTCTTTAACTTGGAAACATGAACCTTGACAAACAATGTACTATAGCCCAGTACTACCAGTTTTACTTGTTTTACACTTGTAATACAAGTTTGTTAAACCACCTATTGTTTATTAGTGTTCCATACTAAATCTATAATGTTGTATAACATTTATGTAAATTTTTTTTTAATTTAATATAACCTTTACCTTTTTTATTCTCAATAATTTCTTTTTAGTCTTTACTATTTAATAACATTAACACTTTTTTTTTTAATTTTTTGTTAATTTTTTACGTTAATTTACTTCCCCAAGGCTGACAAGACTACTACAAACAAGGAGGCTACTTAATTGTGGTTATAATCCTCTCTCAACCCTCTAACTCTAAAACATGAACCTTGACAAACAATGCCTCTGCACAGAGATATTAGTTAAGCGCAGTTCTACCAGGGATGTGCACTCTTCCACTACGGCATAAATAGTATAAACTGCATAAAGTCTCAACATAGATTTGGTTTGAATTTATTAGAACAAGATTAAAGATTACACTTTCTAAAGGACATACATGTCTAAAAAATGGACACTAACAGTATGCTATTTAATAAGTATAAAAACAATGTACATAAATAAATATAGTTTATAATATAAACACTCAAAATTTTATTAATTCATTTACTTCATAGAAGTTTTTTAAAATTAAAGAATAACAATTAGTAATAATGTTATATATATATATATATTATAACATTTAGTAGTTGTTTTTTTTAATTTCTTTTTCTTTCTCTTTATTCATTTTGTTAACATTAATATATAGTGAAAAAAACATCTCTTTTATTTATAAATTTATTAAATTTTTTAAATTTTAAATTTGTTTATGCTAAAAATATATTGGATTAGGTAGTTTATATATATTTATTACACCATGTAACAACATTTTTGTTTATGTTAATTTTTTAATGTTTCTTACATAATTTTTGTATGCTGATTTCAGTGGTACCATTGGTTTTTCTCTATCATCAAGATTTCCTGAGAAAAAGCATAAAGTATATTTCGGAGTTTTCGTATATGTGTAATGCAATTAAAACATTATATATATATGCTGATTTTAACTATATTCGTGTGTTTATTTTCAGTTTAACTAATTACAACTGTTACATGAAGTAGTGAATATGTCTAGTAGATCCTGCAAGCTTTGTCCTGACTCATTCTGTTATGTTTGTGGTTACTATATTAGTCCAACACAAGCTAAACATAAGATTGTCATGGGTACAAAATTCTTTACTGCATATCATGCTTATTTTGGCATGGCTATGGGAGATCAGGACAAATCGTGGGCACCACACTACAGTTGTGGTAGCTGCAGATCAACTCTGGAAGGATGGCTGCGTGGAATCCGAAAGTCAATGCCCTTTGCGATTCCGAGAATATGGAGAGAACCGACGAACCATCATGATGACTGCTTTTTCTGCATTGTTTACATTTCAAAGTATAAAAAACCGAAAGATAGGCTGACTCTAGTTTATCCAAGTATACCATCTTCTATTGGACCAGTTCCACACAGTGATGAATTGCCTGTTCCTACTCCACCTCAATCCGAAGAAGCAGTTGCATATCATTCTGAAGTAGACTCACCGGATGAACTCAATGATGACTGTGATTTCAGGGAACCGAATGATTCACCTCATTTCCCTAACCAACAAGAACTTGATGACTTATTACAAGATTTAGGTCTCACTAAATCAAATGCAGAACTTCTGACATCACGTTTGAAAGAATGGAATTTATTAGATCCAAGCTGCAGAACCTCGAAATACCGAAAAAGACATGAAACATTTGCATACTTTTATGTAGTATCAGAATCACTGTGCTATTGTCATGACGTTTGTGGTCTTTTCAATGACATTGGCATTGTTCACAATCCTGAAGAGTGGAGATTATTCATTGACAGCTCAACAAGAAGTCTAAAGGCAGTTTTGCTCCATAACGGAAACCGATTTCCTTCGATTCCAGTAGCTCATTCCGTTCATCTAAAGGAAGACTATAAGAACGTGAAGTTGTTGCTTGAGAAAATCAACTACGACAGTTACAAGTGGGATGTATGTGGAGACTTTAAGATGCTAGCATTTCTTCTCGGTCTGCAAGGAGGATACACAAAGTACTCGTGTTTTCTTTGTTTATGGGATAGCAGGGCTGCAAACCAGCACTACACAAGACGTGAGTGGCCAGTGAGAGAACATTTACAGCCTGGTTCGCACAATGTTATTAATCAATCTCTGATACCTGTTGAAAAGATCTTACTACCACCCCTTCACATTAAACTTGGTCTTATCAAACAATTTGTCAAAGCATTAAACCCAGATAGTGCAGCATTCCAGCATATTCGGCAGATGTTTCCAAAGGTGTCAGATGCAAAAATTTCAGCAGGTATATTCGTTGGTCCACAGATTAAAGTTATGTTGGCATGTAAGGAGCTTGAGGACAAAATGTCTGCTGTTGAAAAAGAAGCATGGACTGCATTTAGACATGTTGTTCATAGCTTTTTAGGCAACAATAAGAGTGATAACTACAAAGAGATAGTGGAAAACTTAATTGTACGGTACGCAGATATGAAATGCAGAATATCAATAAAGCTGCATTACCTGCATTCACACTTGGAATTTTTCAGACCAAATTTGGGTGATGTGAGTGAAGAGCACGGGGAACGTTTCCATCAGGATATTCTTGCAATGGAGAAAAGATACCAGGGCAGATGGGATGCAGCTATGATGGGTGACTACATCTGGTGTTTGATACGCGATGACGAGAAACTTCATAAAAGAAAACCTCGTTCTACTGTTCACTTTTAGTGTTTTTTGAGATTGTGAGAGACTGTTACAATACAATATAATGTAACATTATGTAATATATGTAAGAAACATGATGTAACATGAAGTTTTGTAACATAACATAACACTTTTGAATTAGTAAATGTTTTATATTGACTAAAGTAGAATCTAATGCAAAACGATTTATATTAATTATATGTTTAATTGATTTTTTGGTTTTACGACCAAACGATTGATGCAATAAAAAATCCAATGTCATATTCAGACTCAGCATACTCAAATTAATTAAGAAACATCAAAAAATTTTGATAAACAGAAAATTTTTTTTTTTTTGTTACATTGTGTTATCTATACAATTAGTTTTTTTAAATATTATATTACATTACATTATAATAGATTGTCATTTTTATATTGTAAAACTTTAATTTATTTAGAGTAGTTTATTTACTTTAATTTATTTTTGCAGAAATATTTCTTAGCAATTTATTAAATATATTTTTATTAAAAACAGTTTTTTAATGTTTTATTTTAGCAAAAAGAAGATAGGTGACCTATTGGCTGCTTTGGATGGTTTTAAAAAAGCAGAACAAGTGATTGATTTGTTTCAAAAGCAACTAACTAATTTTAAGTATGGATTTTTTTAATTAATTTTAATTATGGATTTTAACCTTAGAGAAGTTATGAAAATTGTAAATTTTTAGCCCAATTCTCTAATATATTGTTAATCTGATTCCATATAATGCATTTAGTTATATGTTGGGGAAAAGGTTGAATTTAATCATGATGGGGCAACTGATTAAACTTAAACAAGTGTAATTTAAAAAAACATATTTATAAATATTAAATAAAATAAATTTTAACAGGTTTTTATTTATTTATTTTATTTTATTTTTACAGATCAAGCCTTGTTAAAAGTCTGCTATATTATGATCCAGTTAACAACAGTAAATACATACATTATTTATTTTTTTACAAAAAGTTACAATTGATTACAACAAAATTATTTTTTACTTATACAACAGAAATTTTTTTACCAAAGTTTTTGAAGTTAATTTTTTTAATTTATCAACTTTTAACTTGTCATTGACCCAGAAACAAAACGTCCTCACATGAAAACTAAATATTTCAACTAGACAAAGCCTTTCACTCCTGGACTAAGAAAGATTGGGAAAGAGTTGTTTTCAGTGATAAGAGTTCAACGTTCTGAGTAACAAGTTCAGTATGTAAGGCAAGTAGTTGGGGAGGAAATGAAGGAAGACTGTATTGTTCAGCATGTTAAGCACCCAACACAGGTTATGGAGTGTAATGAGCAAGATAAATTCTGTTCATGTTTAAACTGTCATTTAATAGATTTAATCAGTTAGCAAAATGATATCAAAGTGATGTGAAATTTGGTAAATGTCTTTAAATAAGAGTAAATGTAAAGTAATACCACCTTGGTAAATTAAAAATATGTAAAGTAATACCACCTCAATAAATTAAATAAAAAGTTTAACTCTCAGGTAAATGAGCATCAATTATCAAAAGTAGAATTTGAGAAAGACTTAGGAGTGATCATCTGCTCAGACTTAAAATCAGGATAGCCACAGCTCCTCTAAAATTGTCTAAAAAAATGACATTGTTGACCCCTGTCCAAACAACACTTATATGGAAACTTGGAGGTTAAATCTATAAAAAAAATCCTCTAAAATCCTCTATTTTTATTCAAATTTTGTAATTTTGCGAAAAAAATTCTCTAAATTAAATTCAAAATCTCCTATAAAAACCTCTAATATTCTCTTTTTCTCATAAAACTTTATGTGGCCACCCTGGAAATGAAATTGGCAAAGTGACTCTTTAATAGCAACATTAAATCAATAATTGGGTCAGCTTAAAAACTCATTTCAATACCTTAACATTATCACTTTTAAATTCCTCTTCACGTCATTGGTGAGACCACATCTGGAGTATGGTGTTTCCATATGGAATCTAAATAAACATTAAAGCAATTGAAGCAGTCCAGAGAAGAGCAACTAACTTAGTTCAAGAAGTTATTGGTAAAACATATGAGGAAAGAAGCCGCTGTCTTGGTCTAACAACACTGGAAGAATGTCGAATAAAAAGAGAACAAAAATAACAATTTGAAATTAATAATGGGCAAAATAAAATACACTATTATTCAAGTTTAGCCCAAGAAATATATAAACGTGGCACAAAATAAAGAAACTTTAATCAAAGAACAAAATAAGTCTGATGTTCATTATGTTATACTCCTCTCCTAACTATAACTTAGAAATTCAAACCTTGACCAGAAAAACATTCTTTTTCCAGAGAAACATTCTTGGTTATGAAGCAAAGTTGTAACAGTCTTGGTTATAAAGCAACTTCATTATTTGCTGCAAAATAATAGTTTTTGTTTATTACCTTTTTTGTGTTTATGTTTTCTATTTTCAGGCACTAAGAGCTTTTTTAAATGTGATCTGCATTAAAACTATTATTACTTTTCGACTGTTAGACTGCAATCCAATTTACATATCTTTTTAGTATTAGTAGCCTTATTTTGTTATATTTTTGTAGCGTATGTGCGTGCATTTATGTGTGTATAGAAATAGTTAAAACTATTGTTTCTCAGCTTTATCATCAAAAGTTAAATAAATTTATTCATTTAATGAACAAAGTATTGTGAATTTGCTAAAATAAGAAAGAAAAAAAGGGCATCCAGACTTAAAGTTTTAAATAGTTCGAATTTAGTTTTAAATAGTTCGAAGTTACCTGAGTCATTACTGCATTTTTTGTTTATTTTTACTTTTTGTTTCTTTTTATATGCATAAAGTTTATGTATTTTCAATTTAAATTTATATAGAAAATGGTCAGTTTCCTGATTTATCTCCTACTTTGAAATTTTTTCAGGTATACTTTTATAAAATTTGTCATAAAGATTATTCAAATGATTTATGTACATGTGTGTGAAATGTGTTATGTACATGTGTGTGACATGTGTTATGTACATGTGTGTGACATGACTGTATTTCTTTAAGTTAGCAGATTCATCAACGTAAGCTTTTTTTTTTAATTTACCCTTGCCCCCTCTCTAATGCCTATTGCTTGCTTGATTCTCCTAATAACCAGTGCTGGATATATTCATATACAAATATATAAAGCAAATGATTGTGAATTGCACATAAATTATACATCTTCAAAAAATAGCCATTAACTAAATACGCTATCTAATATTCCCTTAACAAATAGTAGTATTCCTTCAACGAATAGTACTATTTGCTTAACGATTAACTGTTGGCTTAACAAATAGTGTTGTTGCTGTTGGCTTAACAAATAGTGTTGTTGCTGTTAGCTTAACAGATAGTGTTGTTGCTGTTGGCTTAAAAAATAGTGCTGTTCTCTTAATGAATAGTGCTGTTTGCTTAACGAATATTGTTGTTCATTTAAAAAATAATGCTATTTGCTTAACAAATAGTGCTGTTCACAGGAAGAGTGTGGTCATTAGATTCAAAAGACAAATTTTTATTATCTTTATATTTTTAATATATTTTATTTATTTGTATTATCTTTGTATTTATCACTTAAATATTTATGAATATGTTGTTTTTCTTTTATATATATTTGTCTTTTGAATATATATTATTTTTTGATTTAGAATGCTTTTGATCATAAGAAGGCAAAAGATACAGGTCTCATTCATCCCAAACCAGGTATTGCATCACCATTTTTTATTATAAAAATTATAACCAGCTATTTTATCAGCATATCTTTTCAGATTTAGATCTTAAAGTTACACTTCTGATAATCAATTAGGAAAAATGAGGTTGGCAATAAATTGCTGACCTCAAACTGTTAGAGATTGGCATCAGATTGGGAAAAAAAATTTGCTGCAAAAGGATTATTATAAAACATAGAAAAGGTTGGCAAATATTTTTGCTAATCTCAAACATTTTTAGGTTGGCAATTAGGTCAGCATTACATAATGCATACCCTAATTCCAAGGGTTGGATAATGTAATGCTGAATATGAATAAATTTTTATATTTTACTTTACCTCCCCAAGGTCAAGAAACCCAATACAGTTGAGGAGCATGCATTAACTTTGGTTACAATCCTCTCTCAATTCTATAACTCTGAAACAAAAACCTTGATAAGCTAGGTCTCTGCACAGAGAAATAAGTTGATTAGAGTTTCTGTTTCATTGATTAGGTTTTTATCTAGTATCTTTTTACAAAAAAATATAATTTTTAGATTACTCATGTAATGTATAAAATTGGCATTTTTATATTAGATCAGTGTCAAACTGACACTGAAAATGTTTTAAAGTTGTAAAATATTTACTAGAGGGCTCTTGTTATTTCTTCTTCTTATTATTGTTATTATTTTCATTTATTTCCTTTCACCACCCTCTGAGAATGGCCTTATAGGGATTGAAATAACCTCCCACTTAAAAGGTGAGCGCTCTTGCACTACAACACTACTGCATGAAATTTAACAGTTGGGTGCAAAAATTATAATTTCTTGCTTTTAATTTTTTCATTAAATAAAACAATCGAAAGCTAATTTTCATTAATTATTATAGCAAATAATTAGCATAATTACTATTAATATTTATTAAAACAGCTTTAGTTGTTAACACTTAGCAATGGCTAACTATGCTAATTATTTATACATAAATAAATATTCTACAGATTTTATTTCTCTGTTGATAATTCTGGTATCACGTCTATACATTTTATATCTCAGGTTATAATTTTGGTGCTCAGGTCTAGTCATTTTATCTTTCTGACAATAACTTTGATGATCAGGTCTACACATTTTATTTCTGTGGTGATAACTCTAATGTTAGGTCTTCACATATAATTAAATTTAAATTTTAGAGAAAACAGAGAAAACAGGGTTATCTTGATTTAATTATATAATTGACAATAAAGTTATATTCACATTTCTATAGTTATATTTAATTTGAAAATAAACTATGAAATAAAATGTTATGTACAAAAGTATGGTTTGTGTATGAATTTACAACAATTTCTTTAGCTAATATACTATATAGTCATTTTGAGTATCCATGAGTATTATGATCCCTCCCTCCTATGTGGGTGTTTCAAGAATATAAATTTATTAAAAGTCACAATATAGTTTCATCCAAAACTCAATAATAAGCACAGACTTCCATTTTCAAATTTCAAAGAAGTCAAAATACTTATTTAAGCAACCTTGTTTTAAGTAAAAGACAAATCCAAAAATAAATTTTTACAGTTATTCAAAGAAGACAGTGTTGTTCCCTATTACAAAAGTGATTCAGCTGCGGCGCAGAATCTCTGCTTTAAAGGAGATTTTATTTTATCAAATGTATGTTTTTCCATTATACCTTCAATATGATAAAGTGGTCCCAATCCAGAAAATCCTAAAAACCATTTTTAAATCATGCCTTTGCCATCAAGCCTTTGCCAATCCCATGATTTACAGTTCCTATAGTCTACAATATATTTAATTGTTTTAATTCAAGTTTAAGAATTTGAAGATTTTTTTTTTGGAGTGGTACCAGTCCAAAAAAAAAAATGTTTAGGGCTCCCTTGCCAAATACTCCCCTCACTTCTCCAGTGAATTTATTAAGTTATAAATATAGAGATATGAAGCATTATAAAGTACACAATTTATGTACGAAATAGCGATATCTATACGTTTAAGAAAATCTTTAATCATTTAGAATATTTAAATTGATTTTTGATATTTTTATGCAGCATTAATTTACATTAAATTAATTATTGTAAAAAAACTATTTAAAAATATTGGAAATCTAATGCTGATTTCAAAAAAAAATTAGGCTTGTGGTTGAAAAAAGTTATTTTTTAAAAATTATTTAAAAAAGCTATATTCCATATTTTCTAATAAAACTCAAATAGCTGCTGTTTTTTTAAATATTCTTAAGCCTAAAATATTGTTTTTTATAAAAACAACGTAATTGCATTCATTATTTGATGGCAATCAAATCAGGACTTTAAGACTTGTAATACACACAGAAAGTGTTTTATAAATCTGCATATTATATATATATATATATATATATATATATATATATATATATATATATATATATATATATATATATATATATAAACAACTTTCTACGACAACAAAAGTTTTTTTAACAAGTTTTAATATAAGATTAAAGTTAATACATTTAAAAATTTTAAAAATTTGTTAAAAAAAAAAAAACTAACAAATTTTTGAAAGCAGTTACAATTAAATAATTGATTTGAAATTATTGAATTTGCTTTTTAATGAATTAACAAAACACTTCTAATAAATTTTTATATTAAGTATTAATAATTTTTATATTAAGTATTAATATTAATAATAATTAAATAAAAAAAACTGTTTTTTTTTTTTTTTTTTTTTTTTTTTTTTTTTTTTTTTTATAATTATATATTTTTAACGAATATTATTATTCTTTTGAAACAAAGTTTTGAAGAAAAAAAAGTACAAATGTTAAAACAAAGAATGAATTAAAAAGTTTTTTAATGCGTAATTATTTACTTGTTTGCATTTACATGAAAATTGATATTTTTAAATAAGTAAAAAAAAACACTATAGTTTAAATCAATTGTGGGTATATTTTATTATTATATTTTTAAACAATCATTAAAAGTAAATTGTTCTTTGTTTATTAATATTCTAAACATCAAAAAAGATAAAAAATTATTCCGAATGTAATTAAAAACATGGTTAAAATAAACTAAGCATTTTAGTTAAGTTTTGTTTTAGTTAGATTATATATATATATATATATATATATATATATATATATATATATATATATATATATATATATATATATATATATATATATATATATATATATTGCTTTAGTTAAGTGTTTCTTGCATTTTCTGTGTCGATTTTTTTATATATATATATTTTGCTGTTTCGATTTTTTATATATATATATATTTTGCTTTAGTTAAGTGTTTCTTACATTTTCTGTTTCGATTTTTTTTTTTTTTTAATGAAGTTTTTTTTAGGTAAGTTTAAGTAAGTTTTTTTAGCGTATTTTTAAATATTGAAAACATGTCAAAAGCCATGGTCAAATTCCCAAAACAAAGTATTTTTTGCAAGGTCATATAGTTGTGTGCGATCGCATGTCTTCCTGTGAAACACAGTGTGTGTGTAAATATATATATATATATATATATATATATATATATATATATATATATATATATATATATATATATATATATATATATATATATATATATATATATATATATATATATATATATATATACAAGGCCAGTGCGATAGGAGGGGGGGGTGTAACCCCCCCCCCCCCATCATCAATGACTGTTAGTCAGCAAATTTGACCCTTAGTCGGCAAATGTGACCCTTTTTGACTAGTTAGTTGGCAAATGTAGACCCTGTTGATAGGATAGTCGGTTAAGTCAGTTGGCAAATGTCGTTATGGCAGTCGGTAAATTTTAAAAAACGAGGACTTTTTTTTTTAGACGGCAAAAGTTGAAATGGCCCTCCCCCACGTGACCCCTACTTGTGCCGGCCCTGTATATATATATATATATATATATATATATATATATATATATATATCTTAAGATCTTAAAAGACTAATTGAGTACATTTTTAAACAGCTTATAAACTATGATAATAATAAATATAAATATGTTATCTTAACATTGCCAAAAGAATTGCAATTTAATTAATTTTTTTTTTTTTTTTAATTTCTAAAATAGTATTTAGGCTTCAAATATTTTTTTAAACATTTATACTTATATGGTAGGACTTTTTTTTTCATATTTAATGATTTAAATTGTAGTGAACACATCTTTAACTTACAAATAAAAAACCACTATCTGTTTACAATTTGACATATCAAATGGTTCAAAGTCAATTGTTTGTCATTTTTTAAATTTATGTGTGCTTTAACTTTGGTTTAAGTTATTATCCAATCTTTTTTATAAACTTTCTGTGTAAAATATTTTTGAGTATAAGAAAGACAATCCAACATTATTTTTTGTTGTTGTTATGTTTTTTTGATCTTAATGTTCTAAAAAATCATTTAAACATTAGGTCGACTTGAAAAGTGTTGAATCATAGTAATAAAAATTATACTTATAAATAGTTGACATTATGTTTTACAACTATAGTTGCCATAGAGTTAATACAGACTTATATATGTGCGTATATATTTATATATATAATATTTCATAATTTGGTAAGCATTTTAACATCATACTGAAATAGGTATGTTTGGGACTTCAATGCATACACTGATTGGCTACATCAACTAAGAGTTTGGTTGGGGCAACAATCACTTTTTTATTATTTTATGTTTACTATTCTTTTTCTGAAAAAACCATATGGTATTAGGTAACCAAAATGTCACTCATCAAATGTATATCTATATAGGTACTAAACATTTTATATTTATATATATATATATATATATATATATATATATATATATATATATATATATATATATATATATATATATATATATATATATATATATATATGTATATGTATATATATATATTTATATATATATATACATATATATATGTGTGTATATATATATACATATATATATACACACACAACTCACGGAATTAGGGTCAGCATTCGGCAATGCTGACCTCACTGCCCACATAAAAGTGTTTGAGGTCAGCAAAATATTGCAGACCTAG